AGTCCCAACTACTCGGGAGGCTGAGGCAGGAGAATGGTGTGAACCCGGGAGGCGGAGCTTGCAGTGAGCCGAGATCAAGCCACTGCACTCCAGCCTGGGCGACAGAGCAAGACTCCGTCTCAAAAAAAAAAAAAAAGAGAGAGAGAGAAACCAAGAGAAGTAAAGCAAACACTTGAACTACCTCAGACAAGCAGCCTGCTTCACCCGCAGTTCACAAGGAAAACCCACAATCATGAGGTTAAAAATAATTCCCAAGCGCCGGGTGCAATGGCTCACGCCTGTAATCCCGGCACTTTGGGAGGCCGAGGCAAGAAGACTGCTTAAGGTCAGGAGTTCAAGACCAGCCTAACTAACATGGTGAAACCCCATCTCTACTAAAAATACAAAAATTAGTCAGGCGTAGTAGCAGGCGCCTGTAGTCCCAGCAACACGGGAAGCTGAGGTAGGAGAATCCCTTGAACCCGGGAGTGGGAGGTTGCAGTGATCCTAGATAGTGCCACTGCACTCCAGCCTGGGCGACAGAGCAAGACTTAAAAAAAAAAAAAAAAAATCCCAAGCTTGGGAGCCGACTCTAACTGCTGAAATGGAACCCCAGTGTGGATCAGAACCTGGTGATGAGACAGGGACACTTAAGAATTCAACTCCAGGAGCTCAAGGTGCCCTCCAGTCCCCTCCTCACAATGTGGAAACACTCCTTCCTTCAAAACCATTTGTACCAGCAGGAAACTCTCACCTGCAGTCATTGTAAAGTTGTGACCTAAATAAACTGTCACGTTCCCAAACCTTTTCTCCGGGGGACAAGGCAAACCAGTCTTTCACTAAACCTGACCTTCACAGCTTTAATTCGTGTATACAAATTACAGCCTGACCCCAGCGACCCCATGGATGCTAAAACCAAAACACTGCCCAGAAAATGCCCCAGGCGCCAAAGGTACAACCTCAGAAAAGACAGAACCCTCTGCCCCCACCCAACCACATCTGCAGATGGGTCTCCTGCTTTTCACAGCTCTGCAGCTTCTCAGAATCCACATTCCTGGCCAGGCGCGATGGCTCACGCCAGCACTTTGAGAGGCCGAGGTGGGCGAATCACCTGAGGTCAGGAGTTCGAGACCAACCTGGCCAAATGGTGAAACTAAGGGAGGAGACCACCCCTCATATCGTCTTACGCCCAATTTCTGCCTCCAAAGAAAGAAGAAGTAAAAACTAAAGGCAGAAATGAAATCCACAGGCAGACAGCCCAGTGCCGCACGCTGTGCCACCCTGACCTAATCAGTTATCTATAGATTACAGACATTGTATAGAAATGCACTGTGAAAATCCCTATCCTGTTTTGTTCTGACCTAATTACCAGTGCATGCAGCCCCCAGTCCCGTACCCGCCGCTTGCTCAATCACGACCCTCTCACACACACTCCCTCAGAGTTGTGAGCCCTTAAAATGGACAGGAATTGCTCACTCGGAGAGCTCGGCTCTTGAGACAGGAGTCTCACCGATGCCCTCGGCCAAATAAACCCCTTCCTTCTTTAACTCGGTGTCTGAGGAGTTTTGTCTGCGGCTCATCCTGCTACATTTCTTGGTTCCCTGACCGGGAAGCCAGGTGATTGGCGGGTGGTCAAGGCAGCTCCTTAGGCGGCTTAAGCCTGCCCTGTGGAACATCCCTGGGGGGGACTCCAACCAGCCCAAGTGATGCGGATCCTGACAGCCCTCCCGGGTAGGCATTTGCCCCGGTGGGATGCCTCGTCAGAACACTGTGTGGCAGGCCCCCATGGCTGAACACCAGGAAGGAATGGGCACTTGGAGTCTGGACATTTAAAACTTGGTAACACTAGTCTTTGAAACTTGCCCCCTCCGTTTGAGTGGAAGCGTGGCCTAATCATCCATGGCGTGCCTTTATGGGCACTTCGGTTTCGGTTTTGGTTTTGACTTGGTTTAAATTACATGACAGGACCAGTCTTGGGAACTTGCCCACTCCATTTGAGTGGAAGCGTGGCCTGATCACCCACAGCGTGCCTTTATCCACACTTTGGTTTTGATTTTGACTTGGTTTGAATTGCTTGACAGGATTGGTCTTGGGAACTTGCCTGCTCCATTTGAGTGGAAGCATGGCCTGATGACCCACCGTGCGCCTGTACCGACACTTTGGTTTTTGTTTTTGACTTGACTTGGATTGCTTGATACTTTGGTTTTGGTTTTGACCTGGCTTAGATTTCTGGATACTCTGATTTTGGTTTTGATTCTGGTTTGGCATAAACTGTAAAAGTGTGTGTGTGCCCTTTTTACCCGTTCTTTGTTTTATGGTGTGCGTGTGGTGTAAGTGTGGTGTTTTGTCTCGAGGAAATGTGGGTCACAAAGTAAATCCACCCCACTAGGAACTATGTTGAAAAATTTCAAAAAGGGATTTAAGGGAAACTATGGAGTCACCATGACACCAGGAAAACTTAGAACTTTGTGTGAGATAGACTGGCCAGCATTAGAGGTGGGTTGGCCATAAGAAGGAAGCCTGGACAGGTCCCTTATCTCGAAGGTATGGCACAGGGTAACCTGTAAGTCAGGGTACCCAGATCAGTTCCCATATATAGATTCTTGGTTACAGCTAGTTTTGGACCCCCCACAGTGGTTAAGAGGACAGGCAGCAGCAGTACTAGTAGCAAAGGGACAGTTAGTTAAGGAAGGTTCTCGCTCCACCCACCGAGGGAAGTTGGCACCAAAAGTCCTGTCCAACCCAACACCAGAAGAATCGTGGCAGGAATTGGTACCAGCAATACCCACTCCTTATCGGGAGGAAGAGCTCCCCACCCCTGAGCCCACAGCACCTCCACCTCCACCAGATAACCACGCCCCTAGACCACCCAGAGTAGACAAGAGAGGAAGTGAAGCCACAGGAGAAACTCCTCCCTTGGCAGCTCGTTTATGGCCCAAGACTGGAATCCAAATGCCCCCGAGAGAGCAGCAATATACTGGGGTAGATGAGGATGGACACATGGTGGAAAGGCATGCCTTTGTGTATGAACCTTTCACCTCTGCTGACCTCCTCAATTGGAAAAATAATACTCCATCTTACACTGAAAAGCCTCAAGTTTTAATTGACTTGCTCCAAACTATTTATACAGACTCATAATCCTACTTGGGCTGATTGCCACCAGCTGCTCATGTACCTCTTTAATACAGATGAAGGCAAAGGGCGCTCCAGGCGGCAACTAAGTGGCTAGAGGAGCACATCCCAGTCGATTACCAAAACCCCTAAGAATATATAAGAGTTCAGGCCAGGCGTGGTGGCTCACGCCTGTAATCCCAGCACTTTGGGAGGCCGAGGCAGGTGGATCACGAGGTCAGGAGATCGAGACCATCCTGGCTA